CCCATCATCTCCCCGCCCATCATCTCCCCGCCCATCATCTCCCCTCCCATCATCTCCCCTCCCATCATCTCCCCTCCCATCATCTCCCCTCAGCCATCAGCCATCATGGAGCAGTGAGCGAGGGGGGCGGTCCCTATGTAGAAACTATTATTAGCAGAAGAGAATTGTAACTCTATTGTATACATGTACTACATACAGAGTTCCATGTGTCCCCTGCTAACATGAATGGATTCCATGATCCGCAGTACATAACATGCAGTCCTACTACGGATCATTTAAAGTCACCTGGCCCTTTAAGAAAAAGTCTCGGTAATTGGTATCGGTGAGTACACGAGGGGAAGTACTTGGTCCTGAAAGAGTTACAATTACTCTGTACGCTACATGTCTGTGACGGTTCATCCCTCCGGGTCACATGGTATATCTGTAACAAATAAGGACAGGCAACTGGACTGTCTATTCTTCTTGGAGACGTTTCGCTGATCATCCGACCAGCTTTCTCCATTCAGAATGACTCTGGGAATAAATCTCTCTCTCTCTCTCTCTGCAGGGTTTCATCTTTTAAATAAAAAGATCTCCAGAAACATGCAGCGTCGTATCCTATGTTCCCGGGACGCAGGTTCCCCGGACGCAGGTTCCCGGGACGCAGGCTCCCCGGACAGTTCCGTTGCAGACTATTCTCTGCCGCTGTCGGTCTCGGAGGATGAGGTGCGCACAGAACTCTCTCTGTTGGGGTTCCCGGCCGTTCCCAGACACAGACTCATACAATTTAAGGAGGATTTGGAGCACCTGATGCGGAGCCGGGCAGCATTGGAAACACGTTCCGGAACCTCGGCCCAATCGGAGAAGGAGAATGTTCCGGCCTCGTGGCTTCTAGATGGCAGCTCGGATTGGGAGAAGATGTCGGATAGGCCCATGAACGAGCCCCTCGGACAGCTGTACAGCAAGCACACCGCCAGTCAGGAAAAGAGGAGAGCGCCGGCGATAACCCGCAAGGTCCTGCGTAAGACGGGCGGCGGGCAGGCGGAGGTGTGCGACGAGTCCACTCTGTCCAGTGAGGAGGAAACGCTCTCCGTGATGGAGGAGTCCCTGCGCCGGCAGTCTGGACCGCCGTATACGCCATCAGCTGACTGCGTCACATCCTTCATCCGCATGCCGCCATACTCCCTTCTGGAGCAGTACAGACAGCACTCTGACCCCGTCAGCCGGTACCATGACTATAAGCAGAGCTGGACCGCCGTGCAGAGAGCGCTGGAGCGCAGCAAGAAGGAGCTGCGCCTGGAGGTCCGAGAGAGGATGATGTCCGCACCGCCGGCACCTCTTCCAAGGCTGCGACCCTCGCCAAACGCTTACATCATCCCTACAGATAAGAAGAGGTATGGCCTGCGCTGGGGCATCCGCCAGGACCTGGCCAATGGCAACATACCCCGGGGGGGGGGCGGCGGCTCCTGAGGACGCGCTTCTGGGTCGTGTGTTTGGGGTGTTTTCTAATAAATTCTTTTTATTCACAAACATTTTTTATTCAGAAATACATAAAAGATGAAAAGAAGGTTGGCGTGCGTCCTGCCCCTGGTAGGGGGGCAATTCCGGAGTCCTGCCCCTGGTAGGGGGGCAATTCCGGAGTCCTGCCCCTGGTAGGGGGGCAATTCCGGAGTCCTGCCCCTGGTAGGGGGGCAATTCCGGAGTCCTGCCCCTGGTAGGGGGGCAATTCCGGAGTCCTGCCCCTGGTAGGGGGGCAATTCCGGAGTCCTGCCCCTGGTAGGGGGGCAATTCCGGAGTCCTGCCCCTGGTAGGGGGGCAATTCCGGAGTCCTGCCCCTGGTAGGGGGGCAATTCCGGAGTCCTGCAGGCAGTGCTGGAGGTAGGGGGGCAATGCTGGAGGTAGGGGGGCAATGCTGGAGGCGGAGTTACAAGGTTCCCAGGGCCTCCCCCATAAAGATCCGCCCACCGTCTTTCACATGAAACTTGAATTGGCGAGGAGCCTCAAACACCAGCACAATGGTGGAGCCAAAGTTGAACTCTCCCAGCGGGGCCCCCTTTGTCAGGGTCAGGCCGGAGGGGCCGTACTGCTCCGTGTAGTTGTGGTCGTGGTACTTTCCTTTCACATGACGACACTGGTTGGTGTGAAGTTCCTACAATGAGGAAGAGAATAAAACAACCTGTAAATGACGTATGGAAGACACGACAACGTCCAGGAAGCCGTACCTCCTACATTCCTATGACTCGTCCTGTAGGTGGGTCCCGCCCCCCGCGGCGTAGGTGGGTCCCCCCGCGGCGTAGGTGGGTCCCGCCCCCGGCGGCGTAGGTGGGTCCCCCCGCGGCGTAGGTGGGTCCCGCC